TGGCTCAAGATGGTTGAGGGGAATTCAGAGTTGACTAAAGAGAAAGTCAAGCTAGAAACTCTAGTGGCTGAAGCACTTAAGTATGCCTCAGAGAAAGAAAAAGAAGCACGACAGGCTGGTGTTCAACTTTCAGAGACTCAGAAGGGTTTGAAGATGCTGAATAATGGAACGGATCAGTTGGATCATCTTCTCAGCATTGGGCAAAGTGATCGATGTGGTCTTGGATTCAAAGGTGAATCTTCTAAAGCTGAAGGTGTTTTTGTATCAGCAAGAAAAACTGAGGGTGTAGCTACGTCTGCTACAAAACTAGAGGTTAAGGTGTGTGATGGGAATGCAACAAATGGGAAGACTGCAGTGAAGGCTGCAACTTATGTGAAGAAGGCGACTGCTACGAGTACTGCTACGCGTACTGCTACAGCGACTGTTTCGAGTAATATTTCTGATCCTAAGAGGGCATTTGAACGAAAGTTTTGACCTATTTGTCATCACTGTGGTGTTGTTGGGCATATTAGGCCAAGGTGTTTCAAGTTGTTGAGGGAGAAGAACCAGATGGAGGAAGTTTATGGTATGAGGGGTCATGGTCCTATATGTTATTCTTGTGGAGTTCAAGGGCATATTCGACGTGATTTTTTCAGGTATGTTCAAGGAGCTAATCATGGAGGTGTTATGCTCAGAAATACCTGGTCAAGGAGATTTTATCATTATGGAGATGGTGGTATGGGATGTCATCCTCACTTTGGAGGATATTTATCTACTTATTAGTTTTTGACCTTGATGTGACTCATAGGAGGAGATTGAAGACGTGGTTTTCTATCCAGAGGTGATGAGTGCACATGCATAGTCAAAAAGGAGGAGATTGAAGATGTATATTCTGTGTTAGTTAGTGAAGTACTACAGGAGGTAGTACATGCATGTATCATGAAGTTGGGCTAAGTTGGAGTTCGTGTTTTATGATGTCTGTGGGTTTGTTAAGCTTGGAGAAGAGATAATATATTTACAGGAATATTTACATTAAGTGTAAATGATATTACTTGAAGAGTAAAAGGCAAGAGAGTTATTCATTAAGAGAAAAAGGAAAGTTGCTTAAGTTACTTTTGGAAGAATTTGAGGAGCAAGTTCTAGTTACCTATACAAGGAGGGCGTGCCTCCATTGAGAAATGTGTCTCTGCTAAAAAGAAGAAAAGTTGAGAGATCGTTTTGGTGTTGCTTGTGTAATCAAACCTTTGGTGTCATTGGTGTGCGTTAGTTGCTGACGTAGTCGTTGACGTATTTCCGGAGTTCTGGAAGATTGAAGCCTAGATTCAGAGGGAGTTTAGCTCGGGGTTTGGAGGATCCTGATAAACAAAAGTCTAGACTATAGGGTGAGCTCTAGCTTATGATTGGTCTAATCTTAAAAGATTCTTATAATAGGAAAGATTGGTGTAAGACTTTCTTATTTTAGTGAATTCGAAAAGATAAAATTTGTGTTTTGTACTTTCTGCACTTTATTTGCTCCGCTCTCACTACATCAACATGAACTACCACGACAACATTAAAAAGCAAGTACCAAAACTGAGACACGCCAAGAAACTGATCCATCTAAGAATATATATCGATATAAGAATGTTTGCAGGTAAAATGTGGGAATCAACAAATGAGGTATTTGTAGGCCCTTTCTCAAAAAATAAAATACAAATGAGGTATTTATAGTGAACTCGCCTCATACATAATAATGTTTCTTTACCACATTCAGCCACCATAAAACATCTAGAATTTTGTTTTTGGGCGACACTATAGTTTTGATATCAGTGTAGTGATCAAATTAAATGAACATGATTGGTAGATCAATGCCTAAGAGATTTGAATAATTACATTTTTGGGATTTTTTTGTTTTACTTTTGGTGTTAAACAAATATAATAAAAAATGGTATTGCTTTTGTGGAAGTTTATTTTTCTGTAAATCTAATTTTGTTCATATTTCTTTGTGCTATTATTATATTTCAAAGACTTATTTTCTAGAAAAAATTAAAGTTAATCTAATTTAGTTATTGTTAAACATATTATTATTATAGTTACATGTACATCTTTATGTGTATGCGTGGTTTCTTTGGTTTTTTTCTATCATATTCATGAAACTGAAAACCTACAGAAAAACAGAAATATATGATTTTGATTAGAATAAAAGTAAATAAAATTAAGATAAATTGACCAAATCTCTATAATATTATTTGAGAAGTCAGTTTCTTACGTGTCACGCTCACGTTAATTCTCACGATGGTTGATTACATAGATACCCTTAATGAATTGTTAGATTTTAAGATTATTTTTTATTTAGTTTCCTTTTAACTTTTTCCAAATAACATATATAATAAAAAGGAAATATTTCTAAATTTTTTTAAAAAAATTAAAAACGAAAATATATGTATATAATATGACTTTATTAAAAAGGAAAAATCACAAAATAGTAATATCTCCATTAATATATATTTTTGAATAATATAAAATATATTTTCAAAATAATAAAATTATATATGTTCATGAACATTCAAAAATTTATCAGTTACACTTTATTTTCTAATATTATTTAGAAGTCAACACATAATTGGATAAATATTATGAAAATACATGTATATTTAAGCGATAAATAAAACTAATTTAATTTGACTTAACTAAAATAAAAAGTAAATAAATATTATAAAAATATATGTATATTTAAGAGATAAATAAAACTAATTTGATTTGACTTAACTAAGATAAAGAGTAAATAAATATTATAAAATATATGTATATTTAAGCGATAAATAAAACTAAATTGATTTGACTTAATTAAAATTAAAAGTAATTATACTTCAATATTAATTTAAAAATATATTTAACTCAATATACTCACAAAATGAATGACTCGACTAATCTAATTTATATCCAAAATTAAAAATCTAACTACAATAAGAACATATAATTTTATAATAATAATAATAATAATAATCTATTTAATTTTATACATATAAATTAGAGGTTGACTCAAAACATATTAAAAAGAAAAACAAAATATTAATAAATTACAATTTAATTCTTTTGTAGAATTTATATATGTGCATGAGACTTCAAAATATTATTATTATATTCATTTATTTAATTTTGACTCAATCACTTCAGATTATTATTTATTTCATTTTAAGCATAATATATATTAAGTTATACATAATTTAACTATAATATATTTACATATCTAAAAATAAATACATATCTAAGACAATAACCAAGCGAAATGAAAATAAGAAAATTAATCAAAGTTTTGTTATAGCTGAATTCGAAAATAGATATTATCCAATATACCAAATTGATAACCAAACCGACTATTGATCCAAAAATAATTAAACCTAGAATAATATATCCAAAATCATATGTATAATTAAAATAATATAATATTTATTAATATATATTCTGCATATGTTTATTCAAAATTAAAACTAAATATCAATTATTATAAAATCTTACTTTTATAAATATTCATACCCGTGCATGAGCACGGGAAAATCACCTAGTAGTTTATAAAATGAGAAAGCTCACTGTTTCAAAATTGCTTAATGCCACTACATTGTTAGGGACGGCACTGTACCTAATTATGTACAATCTTTAAAACGTGATATGCCACAAATGTCTAAAAGGTGAAAAGAAATTAAATGGTCCATGTCCATTACCTCTATAGGTTTCCTTCGTATCTTGATCCATCAGATTATTTTTCTTGCCGACCGTATAATCACGTTTTTAATACATGGTGAAATGGTAGTACCAAAGTAAAAAGAGAAAAAAAAAAAAGAAGTTTGTTTTGTCAACAATTTTGTTCACTACTCCTATATATAATATAAGTTGATTTTTTTCTCTCTTAAATAATTTCAAAAGAGAACTAAAAGAAACGTGAGAGAAAGAAAAAAAAAATTCTGGTGTGAATAATTAGAATTGTTGAGAGTGACACTGGGATTAAAAGTTCTTTATTACAGAATGCTTTTCATGTTTGAGTTTTCTGAAGGATAAGGGTTTTTCTTATATCACTTGTTAAAGAAGTTTTTATTATATCATTATTGTTAAAGAAATGTATATTTTCTATCCGGAATTAAGTTGATTTAGAAATCCAAATAATAAATGTTTATGATTTTCTAAATCTAATTGGATTTAAATATTATTTACAAATTCTTAGATTTCTGAAAATATATTTTTAGATATTATTTCTCCCTCTGTTACTAAGTATCATTTTAGGTTTGTGCACATGGATTAAGGAAAGAATTAGTTTTGTATATTTTATATATAAAAACACAATTACCTATGCACCAATTCACATTTTAATCAATAGAAAAATGAATTACAAATAAACTTAATAAATTTTACATTGAAAACCGAAAACGACATTTATTTTATAACGAAAAAAAATTTCTACAATAACACTTAATATGAAACGGAGGAAGTAATATAGAAAAAATTAAATCAAATCCACTGAAGCCTATATATCTAAATTTATAATATATAAAACCATGAAAGAAATAGTGAATGGTTGAATGATGTTGATGATAACTTTGAAATCACTGAGTTCAGTTACATATGAATTTGCTTGGATTTATTAGTATCTATAACTCCTAAACTCGAGGTATTTAGAAATTAATGTGATTTAATTTTAGTCAGTTTTTAAATGATTTTAGAGTATTTGCACTTCATACACACACTAAACCTCATAATTCACTCCATACCTCATTTCTTCATTTATCTCTCCTCCCCACATATTACTATTTTCTCCACCAAAAATGGTAAATCCCTAATTTCCCATTTTCTTATGGATTTCTACCCAATTCACTCGTGATTTTAACTGTACCTAGAGTTTACTATTATTTTAGTCAAACCATTCTAGGATTTTATAAGAATTTTTTTTTTAATAAAACACTTTTTAAAAACCTGTTATTATGAAATTCAGAACCCAAAAACTAATAGTAAATTGTAAAATAATATATAAACAATATCAAGTAAAATAAATAACACTTAATTTCGTGTTGAATAATTTGAATTACAGTGAATTTATCATATTATCAGTTAATACAAATAATTTATACTTCCAAGTGTTTTAATCCAAGACGAAATTTTTCGAAGAACTTTGCCGAAGGAAATCTTTCTTACAACAAAAAGACATTTTCAATTTCTGCTTCTTTGTCCAACAAATCATAATCTCGACAAAACCTCAATAACCTACTTCGACTTGAGTTTACATAACCTATCCTTGAACTCTTCCACTGCCTCCTTAGCCTTCAACATAGAGACATCTCTGATCTCACCAATCTTCAAGCTCGTTTGTTTCTTTAACTCTTCCGCTCGTGACTTGGTTTTCATTTCGATCTCTTTGACTTTGTTGCTCATTCCATGAACTTGCTTTTGCAAAGCTGATATCAAAAGATTTATCTTCTCTATAATCGAGTAAATAGCATCTCTGGATTTCTCTCTCACATCTTGCGCCATGTTCTTGAGCTTAGCAACCACATTTTGAGCTCTGTTCATGGTTCCTTCCACGGAATATTGCTTCCCTGCGTTCAACCAAGTAGACTCAGTTGTTGTCTGTTCATGGAGGTCTCTGTCAACAATCACCTTTAGGCCATACTTCTCCCAACGTCCTCTAGCTTCTTCTAGCACTTTTGCTTGTTCTGTTGCTCTTCTACCTTCATCCTCCGCCCAATCCCTGCAAAAAAAAATGAAGAATCAAACCCGTAAATTGCCTGAAGAGCAGGTCTATTGTAGTAAGCTCTATTCATGCTTCTTTTTTTTGCTTGACAAATAAAAAAAAAGAAAGTTTAAAAGATGATATTTACTATACGTCTATACCTGGCTATGGATAAAGCGTTCCTCTCTACTTCAAGCTCATTCTGCAACCGGAGTATCTCTTGATTCTCATTCTCCACTTGCTTTTGAAGTCTATCAAACCTCTCCTTCTCATATGCCATCTCTGCCTTGTTATTCACAAGGCTCTGAAGTTGCTCCTCAAGCTCATTTCGTAACCTTGCAAGAGACTCCATTTCTGTTTCAATCGACGTGCGTTCTTTCTCCAATGCAAGAGTCTCCTCTTCTTTCTCCAGTCTAAGCCTTGTCAGCTCCGTTTTTGCTTCTTCAGCCAATTTCACCACTGCATCTACTATTTTTTTTTCTCTTAAAAGCTCTTTCTCAAAGCTAGCGTGGATATCCTTCTCGACCTGAGAAACCAGCTCGTTATGGGCAGAAACCACATTTTCAGCCATAGCCTCTGCTTGGATACGAGCTAGCTCCTCGCTAACTGCTTCGCAAGCTTCACCAGTTGCAAGAGATACAGCTGTTTGGGCTTTTGTAACTGCTTTAGACGGCTGAAACAATCGGGTGCGCCCTAGAAGGACACATGCCTTTCAAAAACTGAACTTGCTTGGGAAACGTTAGCGATATGATTAGTTAAGAAGCGAGAATCTAACTCACCAAAGGCAAGTGCTATTATTCCATGTTCTCCAGTAGATAAGTCAGCTATAAGGGCAGGCCACGCTTCTGGGTTTATTTTATCAATGTCAAGAAAGCCAGAAAGTTGGTACAACTTCTGGAAAAGGAGAAGTGAGTTGTGTAAGGTTTAGGACTCTCCAATGACTAAATGTGGCGAAAGGAAGGAATAGACAAAGAACCTTGCTATCCGCTTCTGGGAGCTGTCTGAATTCCAAAGCCATCTTCCAGCTCAAAAGATCCTGACGTGAAAGAGGACTGTAGAAAAAAAAAAGTGGATATCACATAGCAATGGCTAGGGCTTTTTGTTTTAAGCGCATATGCTTGAATGAAACCAATAGCAGATCTACCTTTCTGGTGAGAACTTAAATTGACTGCTCTCAGTAGAAGGCATGTTGTGGTTAGAGAGTTTGCTTGAGATAATTCCTGCCTCTGCCAAACCTGTACTATCCAACGAAGATGAAGAAAACAAAAAGGATTAATCATAATCATAACATTCACTGATTCAGCATCAATGTTTAAAAAATAAGTTCCTTCGATCACCTTGAATGACTGGAAAATCAGGATCTTCAGGGGTGATATCGTCAAATGCAAGTTCAGTAACATTCTCTATGTACATTGCAGGATATACTTTTGATGCTGAGTTCCTGTAAACCAATGAAGGTGTTTTCACAATATTAGGCGGAGAAGAAATATTTTCAAGGAGAGAATAATTAGATGGTTACCTACCTCGATAGAGCATTGCTTGCTGAAACCAACCAGCGAGCAAATTCACGGCGTGTACATAAATCATAAGGCCGAGCATCATATTCAATAACCTGAAAGTTAAAATATCAGTTCTTAAAAAATCAGAAAGTAGTTTCACTTATAGATAACTCAAAGAGTTAAAAGAAGTACCTTTAAAACCTGTAAAGCTGCAAACATTTGGCTTTGAACTGGGTCCACAACTGTTGGAACGATAGGACTCGAGGGATTTACTTGTGGAACCGTTGAAGGAGCAGGTATCCCTGTATAACAGCGGGGTTTCTTCTCCTCGTCTGTGATTTGAGAAGCATCTGTATCTACTCCATCAGCGCGGCTTTCTAATGCTTTGTTCGCCCCGTGGTTTTCTTTGCTTGTAGACGCGGATTTTGGCTCCACATCTATCTCATCCCCAGATGAAACTGGTGAATCTGAACTAACATCCAGAAAAGGGGACGTTAAACATGCAAGCACATGACATATGTATAACAAGTTTCTCAGCTTATAGCATTCCAAGCAAGGGTGAGATGCAATACAAAACCTAGGTTCATATAGTCGCTATTCCTTGTACAATCTAAAAGCAAAAAAGATCCATCTCCATACCTTTATAGCTTTCCTTGTTATCCACATAGTTTGTATCATCATGACTACTTGCGCGGACTTGATCACTTGAACTTTCAGAAACCATCACTTCCACTTTTGGTCCTAGAGTTCACCAAAAGTTTTAGCCTTTCATCAACTACATTGTAATCAGACACTGAGAATACAAAGGTTAAGAATTCAATACTAGTGAAAACGTTTCGGTTGAAAGATAGAGCTGCGAAAGCTAAGCCAACGAAAAGAACCATCCCAGCAACTCCAGAGACCAATGTTCCTGAAAACATCAAATCCAAAACCTTTAACACTCAATTAATTAAGCAAACCCAGAAGGAAAGTCCGTACCTTTAAACCAATCGTCGCCGCCAGAATCGTCTCCTGAATCAGCCCACCCACGAAAACGATCCGACCCGCTACTCCGACCCGATTGTGCATCGCATGACACCCGGAGACGGCGACTGAGCAGCTTCGCCATCTTCGCTCTCGCCGGAGCAGCTTTGAAGCTCCTGTAGTTGAGGGCAATCCTGAGCTGGAGAGAGCTTGGCGTCCATGTCGCCATCGCAGACGCCATCATTTGGACGAGACAAGGAAAAGTGATACGACGACGTGTATAACTACGAATATGGTCCTTGTATTTATCTCATTCTTCTTATGTTTTCCCGCTTTAATTTAGTTTATCATGTTTAGCCATCCATCTCCATACTAGCTAGTCACGACTTGCTTCTTCTTGTGAGAAACGGTTTGTTTGCTCATGGTGGGTGGGGGAAGGGAGGGAGGGAACGAGTTGTTTGGCCAGCTTTAGAGATAGCAATCATGTATCGCCACGGGCAAAAGAATGTCGCAAGATGGTATTCGGATGAGGATTTTTTAGACTCGTAAATTTACGGATTTTGCGGGATGGATTTTTACAGGACTGGACCTTTCACAAGATGGACCAAAACAGGTTATGCAGGAATACAAGAATCCGTATTTTTATTTTTTATTTCTTGTTTTACCTGAAAAAAAAATGAGAAAAAGAGTGAGAAGTAGCCGATTCATGTGACTTCCCCTGAGAAAACGTAAGAAACTCCGGCGATGATGATTCGAGCTTCGGTGATGATGATTAAAGCTTTGGTGATGACGATTCCAGCTTTGGTGGTGTTTTGATTTACTTTTTCCGTAAAAGCGGTGTATTGATTTGGTTTTCTCTTTATTTTTAATTTGGGATTTACAATTTTGATTTGGTGTTTGATTTTATTTATTTTTTGGATTCAACAAACTAAAGTATTGGTTATGAACTTATGAGTTATAAGCTAATGAAAAATATCTTTTACAATTATATTTACTTACTCTGTTAATATGTTTTGTGTGTGAAAAAAGTAACTACAACTATTGTTTTTAATAAAAAAATAAACAAATCATGACTGATGAATCATGTCTAATTGAATCGACGACTTGAATCATGTCTCAAAGTAGTCTGAAGCGTTTTGGAGTTGCCTGAAGCGTTATGATGCGTGTATTATCACCTGTCCCTCGGACCGACCCAAAAAAGCTTGTACATATAGTGAGACGGTTTGTATAGCCATTCTAGAGACCGCAACCCTCGCAGGATTGACCCGCTGTGACCCCCTTGAAGAAAATTCTGATGTGACCCGGGACGGGACAACATGTTTGCCATCTCTAGCCAGCTTGCCATCCGTGTTTGCGTACACTAACTTTTTTTCTATTTCCTTCATCAAAGATTTTTTGCTCCTCATATGCTTATGATATCTTCGAGATTCGTTGTATTAAGATCCAACACTTGTTCTAGCCAAACCACGATATGTATATATTTCTTTCGAAGGAAATTCTTAAGAAATTGTCTTCACAAGCTTCTCTTCTTCGATGTTAATTCCCACAGTGGTTGACTTAGATGCAAGTTCTGATTGTTTATCCCCAAAATCATTAACATTTTTGGAATTTTTCATCTTTAGCCTGACGGCTTTCCATACTTGTTTAACTGTATGTAGTTGTTTGTATTTGCAGTATGAGAGTTTTAGGTATCGATTGAAAAATAACACCAAAGCCATGATATTGTTATTGTCAGTTTGTTGTCTTCGGCTCTATTGCTTCCCAAACCTTATACAATGTAAGCGTAATCTTCATCCTCATGGCCATACAATATAATTGGTTGAATTAAGCATGGGGCATTGTATCAATGAAGGTCTTCCTCTATCATTTTACCAGTTGCCGGGATAATGTCACTCATAATAACTTAGTTCTAATATCAAATATAAGTATAAGGATCATAAGAGTAAATAAAGAGTAACTCTCTTTATTAGCATAAGAAAATATCTCAAAACTCAAGTTCTCAACCGCAATCACTAAAATGCATAAGTTATACAATAACCTTGTATCTTCTTGTATAGTAATGAAAAAGCTTCTAAACTCATTAGGTAACAAATATTTAGATACATAACTCATAAATATCCTAAACTTTCATTTTCCCTTACAATCCATATTTTTTGGAAAATAGAATAACTAGCCGCTCAAGTTATATTCAAACTTAATTCAACATATCTTACACATAAAATATTAATGATAGTAATTATCACCTAGTTAGATAAACTAATTAGTACTATATCTTACATATAAAATTTGAATCAGTCATAATAAAAGCAGATTATATGAAAATCTCAAATCAAAAACCATTTATCTCCTTATCTCCTCCTTTTTCTTTATTTACTTCATCATTATTATTTTAAAATCTATTTCATATACTTCCAATACAGATTCCCAAACAATAACGCTAGAGCTTGCTTCCGTGTAGAGAACAAATGCATCATTCGATTACATTAAACTAAATAAGAGAGGATTTCTAGATTTTAATACACAAATTTCTCCTAGTAAACTTTTATTTCTAGAAGTAGTGAAATTACAAATGGAAACAACGACCAAAACAATTTTTCAGGAAAACCATTCCGATAGTCGGAACATTAATAGCAATATACATGTGCATACAATAAAATAAAAATCATGAACATATTTTTTAATCAAAACTCTTACTCTGAATATTTATTCATGAAAGTTGTGCGTTAACGGCTTTTAAAGTGGTCGGACGATTAAAGGCATACCATAACCGGGTCTAAGAGAGAGCATATACTTCGGTGAATGACGATAACCGGGCGATACCGAGATCTCGAACCGGGATAAAACCAACGACAACACAATCTTGTACTCCATGTTTGTCAAGTTCCGACCAATACACATTCTCCCTCCAAATCCAAACGGCAGAAACCCCATCTTATTTTTACAGCCACCATGCAAATCACCATCAAATCTCTCGGGCTTAAACTCGTTGACGTCATCTCCCCACAACTCGGCGTCATGGTGCATCGCCACTACATCAATCCAAATGTTTGTGCAGTTTGGAATCACGCGGCCGTTTACTTCAATGTTTTTTCGGGCTTGTCGTTGTGCGTTTGGCGCCGGCGGATATAGCCGGAGAACCTCATTCATTACCCAACTCATCTGTATAAAATGATTATTCGTTAACAGTTCAATACTATATATTGACTATGCCTAACTGTTTACAAAAACAAAGCCTAATCATGCACTATTAAAATGTGGTTTTAGGATCCGTTGGGGTATTTTTACATATTGGGTCGGCTTCAAACATTTTTAGTTCGGGTTCGGTTATTTCGGGTCGGGTTAAAAAATTTAGATTTTTAAAGAAAAATTTTAAATTCTTCATTACTTAAGTTTCATGTATTTAAAATTTAACCATTAAATTAACTGTTTTTAAAATGTTTAATAAGTTAAACTGTTAATAAGTTTGAAAATAAATTATTGAAAATAAAAATCATTATTTTAGTTGTTACTTACAAATTTTGGATGCAAATTTTATTAAAATATGAAATAAGAAGCTTAATATGCATTTTAAATGAGTAACAAATCAATTTTTTTTTTTACAATTATATGTATATCATCTGATCTTAAACTATATATAACATTAATATAAATATTTTTAATTAAATGTGACAAATAAACTAGGAATAAATAGGTATATATACATATGTTTGGTTATCTTCAGATATTCGTTCGGGTTAGGGTATTACCCGTTCGGGTTCAAATATCCAAACTCTCCTAACGCAATACCCGTTCGGGTATTCTGCTACTTCGATTCGGATATTTCGGGTTAGATTCGGGTACGAGTTCGGGTATCGGGTAAAATGGCCACCCATAACGTGTAGCACGTTTTAGTCATGGATAAAGACAAATAGGACACTCATTAATATGGTTCGATACTGTCATGTGGCTCAGGATTTTTTAGTACAGAGCTGAGGTGGCACTGGCACGTCTATAATTTGTCGCGCAGACGTTGATTAGTATGCACTAGTGCACTACTAGGTTTCTATGTGACCCTTGACTTTCACCACATTAATGTATATTTCATGATATTTAAAACAAAAACTGTATTTTATGATATTCTTACTTTCTTATTGACGAAATATTCCATTCGGGAATTCTTACTAGTGGGGATACCAATTAAATTGAAAATATCTTAGTTTATATTCTATTTCTGTGAAACCTTAAACTTACTTATGTACTAACGTGCCAAATTGCACATTATGTAAACGCGTTCAAATTATCAAATATATATATATATATATATATATATATATATATGATCTAGTAGATATCATGCATATAATTAACTATGTCAACTGTTGTATTGTATGTTTGGTAACGTACCTTCTTTAGTCCGGCAAGTTTGTTATATTCAATCTCAGAATCTCCGATGACTTGTCTGATCTCTTCTCTGATCGTTTCTTGCCATTCGGGATGCATCGCAAGAAGCATGAACGTCCACGTAAGCGCTAAAGCAGTCGTCTCGTGGCCAGCAAAAAAGAACGTTTTGCATTCATCTACAAGCTCCGTCGCCGTAAACTTCCCTTTATCGGCCTTAAGCAACATTCCGAGAAGATCGTGGTGCTCCTCTCCTTCGACCAAAGATTTCTTTCGTTCGTTTATGATCGACAGAAGAAGACCATCAATCTCTTTACCTAACTCCCTCGCTTTAAGGGTTTGCTTAAAGGCCAAAATGTTGCTAAACGGTACCCCTACATAGCGATTCGAGTTGAAAAGAGCAAATTGCATGGCTCTTAAGTTTTGTAGGACTTGAGTTCCGTTTTCTCCCTTAACACCGAAGCTTGTCTTAGCAATTATCTCACCGGCTGTTCCTATGATCTCGCTCTCCATGTCGAATTCGAAGTTGCCTGAGTTTATTTGCATGGCCCATCGGTCCAACATGTTGGTGGTTGATTCCACCATCATATTTTTCATAGCCTATAATTTTAAGACCATCAGTTAAAGTAATGAGAAAAGGAGACACGTTCTAGTAGGCAGCTTTGATTAATTTGAACGACTATTATTTGTATGATCTAGTATTTTTAATACCATAAAGACCTTGGAATACCTGTCATGGAAAATGGTGGATCATGCTTTTTAGGAAGTGACCAAAAAGTCTAAATTATTGAGCTAGATTAGTCACCTTATTAACTTTCTATATTTTGGACTCTTACCAATGTAAACAATTTGAAAACTAGTATACTTTCTAATCATACCTTCAGATTAACATGAGAAAATGCAGGATTGATAATGTGGCGATGTCGTGTCCAGTCATCGCCTTCGACCATAACCAAACCGGTACCAAACATTGGCTCTCTGTCTTTCTTGAAAACATTTGGCTTTCCCCAACTCTTCCCCAATACACCCTTCGACATAACACTCAAGAATTCAGGATCTGCCACGTACACGAATGGCTCTATGCCTAGCCAGTACACAAACACTTTCCCTGCGTTAACACATCCAATAGTCTATGTTATTATTTACATATAGTAATCCAAAAATGTCATGCTAAACTGATTTACAGAAATGTTATTTCATACCGGTCTAAGAAGAAAATCTTACACCGTCCGCAATTATATCAAAGAATGATATCAGTTATAAAGACATTATGGTCCAAATGTCCATAACTCAAATATGAGAACCGAGAGTTAATTTTTCTGATTTCTGAACGATCAAAAAGACAAGTGAAAAGAGAACCCAGAGTTATATTGTTACCATATTGTTGTTGCCAAAGAGCGAAATGTGGAAGGGCGATGGAATGTATGTCATGGTTGATTATGGTGGATGATTTGCTGTTCTCCACCATTACCAAGGCCGGTTTTAGTTTCTTCATGTCATTAAGGTTGCCTAATGGAAAACTAGGTGGTGGACCGGAAAATCCGTTTTCTCCAAGCTTCTCCTGAGCTCGAACGGGCAATATCCAGCAATGCAGAAAGAGCTTCAAGAAAATAAGGCTAAGAACTACAACGAAAACATTGAAGAACATGCACCAAAATGGAGACACGTCAAGAAACTGATCCATCTCGGATATGTATGAATAATATATGTATATGTTTGTATATATATGTGTGTGTGTGTGTTGTATTATCGTGAAGACTGTTTATATGCGTTTTGGTGCAATGTTGTACTCAAAATGTTTGCAGGTGAAACATATGGATCAACCAAATGAGGTATTTATACATGTTTTCTAGATCGAACGTAGAAGAATGTCAGACTTGGACCAACAAAACTCTCCTCTCTCTTTCAATTTATTGTATTGTTGGGGTCTTATTTAATGTTGTTACATAACGTTTCTTTACCATTTTCTGGTCAAACATAATCGGCATCTAGCCTTCCTGTCTTTTTCCTTTTTGCTATAATGTTTTGTCGAGTTTCTTTTTTTGTTGTCTAGTTTCTCCGGCTCCTTTTTTGAATAACTGAAAGTTATGTGAATGTTTACATGTTGTATTTTAACCTTAAATGGAAATAGTTAAATACAGTTTACCCTGTTTTTTTTTGTTTGTCAACAGATAAATTATTTGTTTTCTGTTTAACTGGATAAATTATTTAGTTGATAGAATAAACATAGGATACAAAAAGACTAAAGGTTACAGACCCTAGGTCTTTTAACAACATCTTTCATTCATTTTATTATCACACATTTTTCTCTTTACTGCCCTATGTTTTTGTTTTTCATATTGATTTTATGATTTAAAATATAAATAAAAGGATAAAACACGAACTAACTCTTTTACTTCTGCTATTACTATATTTTTGAACCAGCTTCTTACAACATTTTGTTCGTTTAAATTAATCATTTGTCTTTCGGTGTTTTATGTTTTGTTTCTTTTATTTTTAATTTATGTTTAATTTCACACAAAGAAAAGATAACTACAGTAAAATAAATATTAATATCTCTAGGGCCACAGTATCTTTTTATCTTCACAAATTAATAATAAGCTAATCTCTTTTATCTTTTATCTTTTATCTGGGGCCATCTCCAACCCTACTCCATTTTTTACTTCAAACATCATTTTGGAGTAAAATTCTCTCCAATCCCACTTCATTTTCAACTTCAAAATGGAGTAAAGGCTAGGGTTACTCCATTTATGGAGTAATCTTACACATTACTCCATTTTGGAGTTTAACTTTTTTTATTTATAAAATAGTCCTTTAACTCTCTAATATTTGTATTTCTTACTTAAATAATATTTTTTTTTAAAAAATAGAATAACATGAAAAACATGATTTTTCATTATTTAATAATTTAACACAAAAATACATAGCATAATTAAAAACATAAATAATATTAAATAAAAATAACATAAAATAAGAGATTTAAACAAATCGCTTCCAGATTCGTTAAGACCGGTGAAATATTGTCCAAAGCTCATTTTTATTACGAAATGCATTAGTTGATCATTTGTTGGAAAAATATTCTAATGCTCATTATTGAATTAGCTTATATTGTGTTCTATTTTATTTTTCTGATTTCTTGTACTTTTTAATAATAATGTTGAATTTAAATAAATTATATTTTAAGGTATTTTTATAAGCATGAAATAGTTGGGGTTAATTGTTAAACTTTTATAAATATAAGATATTATTAACAATTATTAATTATTTTTGAAGTAAAAATGGAGTAATACATTAGAATAAAATCTTACTCCATTTTGGAGTTGCACCATTTTGAAATAAAATATGGAATAATACATTGAGATGCTCTGAACATGATATTTACCTTTAAATTAATCTTTTTGTATTAACTTTTCCAGTGAATTTCACTTTTCTTTCCTTGCTTTTCCAATCTTTTTTCCCCAGAGTTTTCCTTACAGTTTCCTTTTACTTCGTGACCACAATATTCATAATTTAAATTATGATTAATGATCTGGATTTTTATCACCATTAAAGAAATTTCAGAAACCTAAACTCTTTGGGTGAAAAACATAATGTTTACACTATACAATAATATATTTACTATCTAGGTGAATGTCACCATGTCTATTCGTAAAATAAATTATGGCAACTATTTTTAGCGGGATGATGAAATTAAAAAAAAAAATTTTACCAAAAATTTAATATTATTTTTAAATTTACCATTAAAATGATAATTTAAAAAAAATATCTTAAGTTTTTGATGAAAAAGACTGATTAACCCTGGCTGTTCAAAAAGCATTTATAATTATTTATAAAATATTTATAGAAATTTACGAACCTAATCCTACTCCATAAATACTAAATTCTAAACAATAATCACTAAACCCTAAATCCAAATATTACAACTATTTTTGATTGAGTGTATTTTTCAAACGTAATATCCAAATAGTTATTTTTTACTAATTTATTATGAGATTAAAGGTGATAATATACAGTTGGATATATAAAAAACAGTAATCGCCTTTCAAATACCCAAACTGGTACCGCTTGCAAAAATATAATATATGTTTTCTTATGAAACTAGAAAAGTTAGAAGGATATTTAAATTAATAAAAAAGGAACGATTCTGAAATTCCACTATATATATCAGTATCTTGTCTTAGTAATTAATAGTTATGTTTCTATATATAGTTTGATATATGATACTAAAACATCCAACATTATTATTTTATCAAAATGCGATTTTATTTTCAATTAACCCAAATCAAAATTTTGAAAATCGTCTTTGTATTTATCTATTTATAAATACTAATACAAGAAAGTTTTACTGTTACGTTCCATCACATATATAAGTCTCCATTTTTTAAAAATGTAGGTAATAAATTCATCTATTTGACTTAAAAGTACTTTAAAGGTTTCAGTACGATTTAATATGCCGGTTTACTAAAAGTAGAATATCACAATCATAAAACCGTACATGTAAAAAATCATCCACTTTTATAAACCAAGTTGATTTTGATCCACACTTGTGAAACCCAGAATTAATATTTGGTTGAAATTTGTTTATATAATGAAAATTACAAAAAGTATACATAATTTATAATAATTTACGTAAGTTGTTATTAATAATCTTTTTACTTAAACCATTTTTTGGAAATTTCGGATAATTATACATGCACTATAAGTCTGTTTATTTAACATGTTTCGTCTTGATCTTATCTCTAGTGATTTAAATTTAAAATAATATATAATTTATATTCTATTGATGATACATATAAATATTTTTATAGCAGAATTGATGGTAATATTTTAAATATATATAGATATATAAATAAGTATAAATAAAATAATCAATTCTTATTGATGATGGTAAAATCTATCTTTAAATTTGTATTTACAAATATTTGGTATGTTGGATAGACAACCCGTAAAAAAAATTTTGAGTAGATTTTTGGAATGGTTCTCTTTTAATAGTAGATATATGATATTGATCACTTTCACCACCTAACTGCTAATTATAATAGTAACAAAAAGTCTTTAAATGCTCTAACTGTTTAATGTGAAAACCCTTAAGCTTCAACTGGTTAGCCAAAAATAAGGCAGTTTAATAAACTAAATGTTAGAAGCACATCGATATAGAAATTTATTTTTCTATAAACCACGTAGCATTGATATATTTGGCTTGGGATCTCTTTATCAGAAGAAGACAGCTTCGTCTTTTGTTCTTTTCCATTTTTTGGAGTTTCGGTTTTGTTTAAGATTGGCACATGTGCTTTATATTGTTTCTTTTTCTAACACACATGTGCGTTTATATATAATAAATATTAGTTACGCAAGTTAGATAATAGTTCAAGTAACGGGAGTACGTAGAGAGAAATGGTCAAACGTTTTTCGTTTGAACTGCGGCTAAATTATTTAATGTCACGCGTACTCGTGAGAAGAACACAAGATATGACAAATACGAAAGAAGGTCCTCTTTAAACAGCCTTTTTATTTTTGTTTTTTCTTAAAATGTGAATTTTCTTTATCAACAAAAAAAGTTCTTAAAAAAAGTCTAGATTAATACAATCAATTTTTAAAACATGGCAAACATGTCATATGAACTTAAACTTATTTGCATTTTAGATATAAATGTGATATGTAGAATGAGATCAGAGAGGGAGTCTTGAGATTGCAGTCCATCTAACAAGCGCTTTGTTTGGTTCGTATGTGTTTTCATTTCTAGTCGAAATCAATCTATGGCAAGTTCTTATGGATGATATGGGCAAAATGAAGAGGAGGAAAATTTGGTGTCAAGTTCCCTTCAAGGAGAATGTAAAGCCCTATGTTTCCATAAAAAAAATGTGATATTCACCAGCCATTTATTGTGGAAACAAAGCAATTCTAAGATAGTTTAGCAGCTCACAGTCGATGAATAATGTCTAACTTCGCGTTCGTCCTAATTCTAACAAGCTTTGTGTCAATCTCACTAGCTAGTTACATCCATGAGGGGTTACATGATTAACTATTTGTCGAAACAGAAGTAAACAAAACCATTTTCAGATATAATTTGGTTAAATAGTGTTTTTCGGTTCACTATATATAATGAACATTTTATACTTGCATTCAATGTGCGGTATAACATTTTAACTTCAGTTTTGATTTTTGACGTTACAGCTTAATTTGATGTAGGTTATTATACTTTGTATATTTCTATGGTCCTGTAATTATGTCCTAAATTTAAAAGAGATTCCTATATGCTAAGTTGCTAATTTTGAATATAATTCAATCATGAAATGTCAGTTTTCACCACTTAAGATCATCTCAAGTGCTTCACCAAACTGGATAGTGTATTACTTCAATGTATGGAGTACTTTCACTTGGATTCTCCATGCGGATCTGAACAGTTTCACATCGCTGAGTTTACTGATTTTGGTTTGGAACTCATAGCTTTAGTGAAAGATATGTTAGGAAGTATTGTTTTTGGCTGGTTAGTTGAAGGGCTATGTTTATATTTGGGCGTATGTTTACAGATTTAGAATTTTCTAGGCCTTAAGGAAATATTAAATTGTTTGTTTGTTACAACGGCTAAATCTTCTGTAAATGCACAATATGATATTATAAATATATATTTTACGTTTCATATATGTTTTTTGAAAATCTCTATTATTGAAGAAGTTAAAATCT